ATAGAGCTGGAGAGTAGAAAACCCACAAACATTCACATACACTGTTTCAGGTAAAGGGGACAGACATTTTGTTTTGCAGTGATAACACATACAAGTAGACATTTCTAGATGAAGTGGACAGACATTTTGTTTTACATTGATAACACATACAAGTAGACGTTTCTAGATGAAGGGGACAGACATTTTGTTTTACATTGATAACACATACAAGTAGACATTTCTAGATGAAGGGGACAGACATTTTGTCTTACATTGATAACACATACAAGTAGACATTTCTAGATGAAGGGGACAGACATTTTGTTTTACGGTGATGACACATACAAGTAGACATTTCTAGATGAAGGGGACAGACGTTTTGTTTTGCAGTGATAACACACTCAAGTAGACATTTCTAGATGAAGGGGGACAGACATTTTGTTTTGCAGTGATAACACATACAAGTAGACATTTCTAGATGAAGGGGGACAGACATTTTGTTTTGCAGTAATAACACATACAAGTAGACATTCATCTAGAAAAATCCAGAAACTGGGATGAAAAATAGAAATATCCTTATAATAATGTCTGTTACCGAACATGCTTGCTTATTCAGCTATGGGAGTGTTACCGAAAGTTATCACCACAAAGCACGTCACTTACAACTTGCCCAGGTAAACAGCCTGGCATGGCCTGGTGGTTAGTGCACTAGACTCGCAATATACGGGGTCATGGGTTCGAATCTCATCACCAGAGATGGTTGCTCTTTTAGCCGTGGAGGCATTATAATGTTACAGTCAGTCTTATTATTCAATAGTAAAAGAGTAGCCTGAGAGACACACACACACAATTTTGTGTATGATTCATTCTGATACTTATGTTCTTTGACCTGCTTTGTTTAAACCCGTTTAGGTTCAGCTTTCACCCCAAGACACCATATGGCAAGACCTTTGTCACGTGCTCTCTCTAGTCCACTGGTTACTTTAAGTCCAACAGGGTGTTCTCAAGAGAGTCCGGTGTTTTGTTGCTATCCTTTTACTACAGGTAATTCTTCTTTGTTTGTTGTTCTTTTTGCAATCAAATCCTATTTTAAAATAATTAATATACGTGTATATAATATACACTAAACATTTTCAGAGACATCCATTAGTTAAGTGTAACAATAAAATAACTAATCGGTATTGAGAATTAAACCAGTGTGATCAGTATTCTCTGGTAACAGTTTATGTATATGTAGGGTTTACTAACTTATCAAGTGTTAAAGTTGTACATTTATCAACTCTTGAGATAGAACCTGAACCCACTTTATTGAAACACTGACGATACAGTGCCTTGAAGAATACTTTGTCTTTGTTCATTTGGTATCACTTTGTGTTATCACTGTAAAACAAACGTTTTGTCCCCTTCATCTAGAAATGTCTACTTGTATGTGTTATCAATGTAAAACATACGTTTTGTCCCCTTCATCTAGAAATGTCTACTTGTATGTGTTATCAATGTAAAACATACGTTTTGTCCCCTTCATCTAGAAATGTCTACTTGTATGTGTTATCACTGTAAAACATACGTTTTGTCCCCTTCATCTAGAAATGTCTACTTGTATGTGTTATCAATGTAAAACATATGTTTTGTCCCCAATCCTAGTGAAATATTGTGTACTTCTAATCTATTTATTGTTCTTAGCTCAGATTCTGTCTGGATTAATGAAATAGTGTAATTAGTGAAATATTGTGTACTTCTAATCTATTTATCATTCTTATCTCAGATTCTCTAGTGGTTTAGGAAGATTACATTCACTCCACCAACAAGTCCTAGTTATGTACAGCAACACATGAAAGCCTTGGAACAATACAGAAGCTCAGGACAAGTTCATCAGACTTGTGGTGGTCCTTCCGTCATGCCTGGAATGTGCATGTCTGGCAGTGTGATCACCGATGCTCAAGTGGCTCAGGCTCGGTTACACAGGTGTGCCAATGTTTTAAACTATTCATACAGTTAATGAATATTGTTTACTTCTCTTGAAGATGATAAACTTACTGAATGATAATGACTGATACCTTCACAGATTTCAGCTCTGTTGAAAGCCAAGGTCAACAGAGAAAATAAAACGGGTATGGTACGAAACTGTAACAAAATATTTGTAGGTCGGGTGTATACTATTATACTCTACGTACAGTTTTACTGAAGATGAATCTCTTGGTTTCTGAGGATCACATACATATTTAAATGGGTATTGTATTAAACTTTGAACGATCTCATTAATAATAATGGCTTCAGGTGTCAGGTGACATTATTTTTATGTTTATTGTATTTCACTTTAATGAAATATCTCATTAATGAGGATAGTGTCAGGTAACGGATTTATTTTTATGTTTATTGCACTTTAATTAATGAAACATCATATTAATAATGATGGTTTCAGATCTTAGTTGATAAATTTATTTATATCTTTATTTTATTAAACTTTAATGAAACTAACAGAGTATTCTGAGAGATAGAGTGAAGGTGATGGTTACATTTGCATAATTGCATTATATCACCTTTGAACTGGTGTTTTCTTTTTTATGATAGGAGTATCCACAGGCCTCTTGGTAGGACACAGTCGGCCCCACTTCCTCTAGGACACCCCATGCTACAGCCCCAGGGAATAATCCTTTCCCCTCAACAGAGTGAACAGTTTTTAAGAGAGAAAAAGCTATATGAACAGCACCAACACAACTTGTTGAAACAAGTGATTAGAATTCAAATGTTTGATAATAAATACAAGTTTGTATGAAGTTTAATATTAATCTAAGATGTAGAATAATATAGTCAAAAGCTTAAGAGGATGTTGTTTTAAGTAATGATTTTGGTGATAATCTCATTGTTAAATTTCGTTGTTCTATCACTGTACTTGTAACGACGGTTGGATATTGCCTACATCTTAAAATGTATTTGAAATAGTTTATTAATTTTATATTTAAGAATTTTCGGTGCATCCTTTCCCTTATAGCACATCCGCCAAACCGTATTAACCCGTGCTAGTAGTAAAAATCAGGTAGAAAATGTTGAAGAAGAAACGGAAGCTGCTGTTGCACAGGAAATGAAAGATTCTCCCGTACCCGTTTCCCAGCCTGAAGTGATTGACCTAGCCGAACAAAGGGCAAAAGAATCTGAGAAGGAGAGTGACCTGGCAAAAGAACAATGTGATCATGAAGCATTCCTTCATCAACAAGAGGATACTGTGATGACGTCATCCCTTCGGATAAGAGAAGGTATCTCAGATTGGACTAATTTACTGGAATATTTGATTCTTAATACTTTTACCAAACTTTTGTATTGGAATTAAGTCTTAATTGAAATATGTATATATACTTTTGTTGTTCTATAACATATTTTTTCATTATACACTTATTTATTTTGTGAAAAACATTTAGTAAAACTTTTATTGTAGATGTATCTTAAACAAAAATGATAATTACAAATAAAAAAATAATATTAATCAGTGTTTCATACCAGCTGAAACTTTGCTGAAAGTAACAAAATGAGTTAAAACTATACTATATACATAACAGTAAAAGTTTGATAACTAGAGATGTATAACACATTTTGTCACTGTGATGTACTGTCACTATATACATAACAGTAAAAGTCTTGATAAGTAGAGATGTATAACACGTTTTGTCACTGTGATGTACTGTCACTATATACATAACAGTAAAAGTTTGATAACTAGATATGTATAACACATTTTGTCACTGTGATGTACTGTCACTATATACATAACAGTAAAAGTTTGATAAGTAGAGATGTATAACACATTCTGTCACTGTGATGTACTGTCACTATATATATATAACAGTAAAAGTTTGATAAGTAGAGATGTATGCTGCTCGCAAGAAGCTAGGAAATAACTCTTAAAACATTCGCAAGAAAAAACACACTATAGAATCACAATTGAAAACATTGTTTTGAACAAACATTTAAATGTTTATTGTTTTGTTTTCTCAAGTAAATATGTTCAGACAGTCATGACAAACCTGTAACACCTTGGTCCCCTATTAGGTTTGTTTGTTTCTTATGAATTGCATGCAAAGCTACACGTGGGCTATCTGCACTAGCCGTTCCTAATTTAGCAGTGAAAGACTAGAGGGAAGGGAACTAGTTATCACCATCCACTGCCAACTCTTTGGCTATTCTTTTACCAACGAATAGAGGGATTGACCGTCACATTATAACTCCCCCATGGCTGAAAGGGCGAGCATGTTTGGTGGGACGGGGATTTGAACCTGCCACCAGCAGAATCCTATTAGGAATGTCCAGTAGGAACTTTTCTAAAATCTATAAACATACACGTTTATTTTGAACGATCCTTATATATGCCAAAGCCAATTTTCATCTAAGTTGATATAGGTTCAATCGGAAGGATTATTTTCAAAATTAAATCAACTGATATTTCATTTTTGTCACTGGATTTTTTTTATCCCCTCAACACAGGTTGTGTTGGAATTTGGCGACCAAAATTTATTAATGAATTAGCTCGTTATTATTATTTTTATTCTTTGCTGGTAGTTGCAACGGCAGTTAAATTTTCATTCTAATGATGTGAATCACCAGGAGGCGTAAATAACGAATGGTAGGATTATTTTCGCTACTTGAAACTGTTGAAACCACAAAAATGTTTGTTTTAGTATAAAGTTACACAACAAACTATCTGTACTCTGTCTGCCACAGGGATTGAACTCCAAATTTTAGCACTATAAGCCATTGAACTTACCATTTTGCTAACAGGGGCCTCCGAAGGACATTTCGTTTTTGTTCATTTGCTTGTTTTGTACTTTATTATTAATATTATAATAGTAGAATATAAAAGTTTTAATTAATGGTCATATTTTGTTTATAGGGAAAACAAAACATGAACAGTCACTGTTATTTTTCATTGTTATCCAGGAACCAGGTCCTTATTTGTTTGGTCATGGTAGCAACATGTCTCTATATTCATCTCCTTCCATGCCGAACATAACACTTGGACGTCCACCTGTACCAACAAGCAATGCTGCAGTAAGTGTTTTTTTTTTTTTGTCTGTCTGTCTCTGCTTTGGTAGTTATCCATGGAAAGAAAGAATTCTATTTTTATATCAGATAATGTGTTTGTGTTTTAACTGATTATTTTTCTCATTTATAGCAAGGAAATGAAACTTGGTCCCAGGGTTTGAAATCACAAGTGTCTGATGTGATTGTTCCTATTTTTGTAATAATTGTTTATATAATTTAGTGACTTTATAATTGTTAGATGCACACGACTGTTCAAATTCAGTATAGCACAAGTGTTAAATTTAGTTATTTTTAAAAGCAATAGTTTATCACAAGTTTGTTTATGTCTCTACGAATCGTATGTTATGTAGTTCAATAATTATGAATTGGTGATTGTTATATTATTGCCTCATGTTACTAGAAAATTGTGCGTTTTTTCGTTGTTTTAATTGTATATTATTGCATCATAAAATCTCGTAGTGTATGGAATGTTCTAGGCCTCTGTAGTGCTATAAATATACGTCCAAAATTTAGTTCGATATAGTTAGTTAGCTAGAGAGAGATCTAGACCACGGGGTTGTGAGTTTAGTTATAAAGAGTGTATAGTAGCGATTTTTAAAGTGAAATTATCACATATTATATTGTGATAACAGACTAGAGAAGAAATAACTTGTTTGGTCATTTGAGTTCTAAAGTAACTGAACCAGCCTGTGTGGAATTTGACAAAAAGAGACAATTATTTAAAGCTCTGGATACCAACAGTTATAGTAGTGATTTTAAAGTGAATTTATCACAGATTGTATTGTAATAACAGAGTACAGAAGAATAATTCATCTTGTCAAATTGTGTTCTAAAGTAACTGAATCAGTCTGTATGAAATTTGACGATAAAGAGACAATTATTTAACGTTCTGGATACAACTGTGATAACCAACAATATAACAAACATTTGTATATATGTTTGACTTGATTTAGTATATTATTTTAAACAACTGGACTGTGTGCTGCATCCAAAATGTAGTTTGATATAGTTAGTTATATAGATAGAGATAGATCTAGACTGTGATTGTGAGTTTAGCCATAAAGAGCATATAGTAGCAATTTTTAAAGTGAAATTATCACATATTATATTGTATTAACAGAGTAGGGAAGAATATTTCATCTTGTCAATTGTGTTCTAAAGTAACTGAACCAGCCTGTGTGAAATTTAACAACAGTTCTGGATACAACTGTGATAACCAACAGTGTAATGAACATTTGTATATACATTTAACAAGTTTAAATATAATATTTTTAAAGAAATGGACTGTGTGCTGTTTGTTTATTGTTGAAATTTATCACCAACAAGTCACAGACATCTACTATAAAGAATCTGGCCCATAAATACGAAAAACCTGACAGTGGTGAGCCAGCCAGGATCTACAGGGGTAAATGGTGGTAGGAGTTTATGTAAACAATCATCAAATAAGCCAGCATACGTACAGCTGTAGTGCTAGAAAAATATTGTAGAGGTCACAATCACACTATATAATACCTGTTCAGCACCATCTGTTGAATATGTGTAGATCATGTAACAAAAACATTTCAATAATTAATTCACTTTTAAAAGAAAAAAAATGAAGGAAAACTAGTGAAAGGAAATATTTTAATTTGACATTTTAGTTATATTTAATGTTTGAAAAGTTTTTTTTTAACTCAATATTACTGTCTAAACTTTTAATGGGAAATGTTTCATAAAGCATTTTTGATACTTTCACAAAACAAAAGTAATATTGGCAGAAGGAACTTTAATAGATGGAAGTTTTAGTGAGTTTGTAACATTGGCTTTTGCTCATCTGTATCATTAGAGTCTATTATACATAAGCATTGCAATGTTAAGATGGTATGAAATTTTTTTTGTTCCCTTGAAGTATAAAAGACACAGTTTGAGTGTATCAACAGTGGATTTATTTACCTTTTGTTTTTACAACAAATCTCAATCTTTGCTCATTCCTGCAAGGTATTAGACTACACATGAACTGTATTATATCATTTCTTACCAATTATATCTTTTTGATGCAAGAAATCAGACCAACACTATCAATTGTTTTAGGTTCTTCACGTAGTTCTTCTACAACTTTTATTACATGTCTGACATGTCTTATTTGACTGACTTTTTATTTTGTAGGAAGGGAAAGGAATGTCAGCAATGTCTGAAGCACAGTTACGAGCAACGGCTGCAGCGAGACTGGGTGTACCTCTAACGTCACACATGCTACACTCATCCCTCCCTTTTTACCCCTCTTTGCCAGGTACAGTATTGCTTCACATAATAAATAAGATACTGTATCAGTAACACAACATAACTGAAATTACCAGATCTTAAAACCTCCAAGATACTTAACAGATCAGTTTTCTATCTTGACTAACACTCAAATATCATCAGATCTTAGAGGAAAATTTTAAATGCTTTAATCAAATATCTATTTAATTTCTCAAGGTTTTATATACTTAATTGCATCAACCCCTCTGTCTGCTATGCAATACAGTGGTTCTCAAACTGTAAGGTACACCCATCTGTAATGGACATAGTATCACTGAAAAGAGTGCTTAGAACACCCCACCCCACCCCTAAAAAAATAGTTCAGTCAGGGCAACTAAAATTTTAAGGTGTCCAATAATGAGATTAGAAAATATATATATATTAGTGGGTTATATGTTTGTCATGTTTGATTGCTGTAAGGAAAAATGAGGAGTAACACAAACAGGCCTTTTCATGATGTAAGTTTATCTTTCTCATTGAAACTTGAGGATAATGTTACAAGTAACCATACACATTTTTTCCCGATAAATAACACATATTTTTATAGCTGTTGTTAGAAATTGAGTAAAAATGCCATTGAGATGATAAATGGTGATATTTAATGGAAGTTTAAGATGAAAAAGGATGAAAACCGCTGATCTAACGCACCTTCCTCTTGAAACAGACAACAAAATGAGATAAAACTTTGAATAATACTCCGTTAACTTTCTCACTAGGACAGTGAATAATATTAATATTTAGTAAACAGTTGAATCAACAGTAATTATCAAAGTGCCTAATAAGTACATTCTTGTTGCAGTTATTGATGGAGAGGTGACAGTACATCACAGTGACAAAATGTGTTATACATATCTAGTTATCAAACTTTTACTGTTATGTATATAGTGACAGTACATCACAGTGACAAAACGTGTTATACATATCTAGTTATCAAACTTTTACTGTTATGTATATAGTGACAGTACATCACAGTGACGAAATGTGTTATACATCTCTAGTTATCAAACTGTTACTGTTATGTATATAGTGACAGTACATCACAGTGACAAAATGTGTTATACATCTCTAGTTATCAAACTGTTACTGTTATATAT